AAACCTACATTGCAACTTCATTTAAACATTTCCCTCACTGCAAAATAATCTTTTCCAATGGATGGGAGGGGAGAGTTTGCTGTTTACAAGATTCTTTGGCTGGAGTAATTCAACAGGAGTAATTCAACACCCTTTCCAGGCTGTTGAGACAAGAGCTTGCAGGTGTCCAGACCAGATCGTAACACTCACCAGGGTGTGCCATGGGGACGGTCTGATTGCCACGCCTAGCGTAGTTGTAGATAACAACAGCTTCGGCCCCTTGCTGAGCTGCATGGGTGATCTTCTCGGTGAAGGTGCAGTTACCCCTTGCGATCAGTGCTATCCATGGTGACGCAGCTGCAACAAACTTGGTGTCTGGAGCGCAAGCTTGAAGGTTGGTGGAATTGGGGGGGACCACCAGCCCATGCGCATCAGCCACCGGGGAATGCATCCCGAACAAACCGCATTCGCACCTGTCCCTCTCCGTGGTGCGGTTGAGGGCGTTGAAATACAGCAAGCTCACATTGGCTTTGACCGAGACGGAGTGTGCCACTCGGAGCAGGCCAGCAAGAACGAGGAAGCCGACCGGGCTGGGTTCTCTCCCGCACTTCATTGCTCGGTCATCACATTCAAAGCACGGAGCACCTTTCAATTGCTGCTTGTCCGCTGCTGCTCTCAGTGGTTTGAAATTACAATCCCAGGTAGGTAAGCAATAGCACTGCCCTCTGGATCATTAGATCTTTGGTTGCGTCAGTGCCCTTATCTCAAGGGAACAAAGCCGCCCATGCTGCAGCCACAGGGGAAGAGCAAGAGCGCATGCATGGAGTCTGCCCCTCTACTGCTGACTCATTTTCCTCTGCATCATCACTCCCCTTGGTCTTCGCTTCCATACAACAGCTTTTTCAATGGCTGGTTAATGGGATTTTGCATCCCTTCTCATCTCTTCTCCAAAGGAGACACAATCGTCTTAGGAAAAGCATCAGAATGTAAAACAGTCTCAGTGAAAAAGCAAGCAGAAGCCAAATTAAAAAGTAGAGAACATGTTTGGAATAGATCTAGGGGAAGGAAGTTCATGAGAAGAGTCCAGGCACATTCAGCCACGAGAACCACCCCTCCGGGAGATGAGGGGGTGGCAACTAGGCAAAGGGCCTTTCCCACTGCTGCTCTCCCTAGGGAAATTCGCCTGGCACTATCTCTATTTTCCTTTCGGCACCAGAATATGTATCTTTTTAGGAAGATTTGCAACATTTAGCCTGTATGCTGTGGCCCTTTTTAATTACTTTTATAGATGTTTAATTCATTATGTTTTAATTGGTTTTTAATGTGTTTTTACTCTGTTAGTATATTTTATGCATTGTAAGCTGCCCAGGAAGGCCTCGGGAATTATAGGCAGCCTATAAATGCATGTAAATAAAATAAAAAAAATATGAGAATCGGCCAAAGGCACCATCACACAATGGCTGCCGGGGAAGTTTGGCAAAGGGCAATTGTCCCACCAAAAGAGTGCAAGGTCAGGATGCGGTCTTGGTCTAAGCACACCCAACAACTCTTCGAACTCACAGAAATCTATCTCACAGCAATTGCAGCTGCCAATGCAGAACTTTAACTTAAAAAGTGTAAGTGGGAGGGAAGGGATACCTTGCTGGGCACCAGTCAATGTGTCCAGAGGCACCTTGGACACCATGATGCCTATTTTCAATCCAAGCTGATCATCTTGCAGGAACCAAAGATCAAGATGGTTGCACTTTAGGCTAAACAGAAGGTCAGCAGTCTTATATCTCCACCACCCAAGCAGATAAGCTAGGTTATCTACCCTTTATTCACTACCAAACAAATCCAAGAGCCTGTTAAAATGAATGCATAGTACCATCTTTCTCTCAAAAATAATTTATTTTGTACAATATTTTCCTTATTGCTTTAAATCTTCCCTCCAACAAGGCAAAGTGCCTGTGGTGGTGTACATACATGTCCCCATTACCCCCGCTCCCCCCCCACCCCTCTCCATTGCCCCATGCTTAGATCCTAAGCTCCTTTGGATCCCCCGTTTGCTTACGTCAGCCTGAAAAGCCCTGTGTGCTCTGGTGGGATTCAATAAAATGGGTTGCTCTTTTATACACAGAAAGCATCTTGGGCTCAAGGAAAGGCCGTTTTCCATCTCATGCTAAAGCATTACTCAATAAACTGAATTCCAGCGACATTCTCACAGCTGTGCAGAATCACTGCAGGCCTTTCCTATTATAGCATTGCATGAAATTTTGCAGACCTTGTGCAAGTGTATGAAGAACATTAGCAGTTATCTTCTTTCTGCCCACAAATCTTTAAATTCAACCCCTTAACAAAATCCTGAATTTCCAATCAGCTCAAGATTTCTCCTGTGTATTTTGCAGTTCACACACTGGAAATGGGAAGCATGCTTAACTGGGAACTACAACCATGGACTGGCCTCTTGAGGTTTACTGCAGGCATGCTTAAGTGCGATTCTAGGCTTTTCTTCTTGCAACAGCATTTCCCCCTCTCATAATTTATCCTTTGTTCCCCCTTAGCAGAGGTTGCTATTTAAGAAACACAATTCTGGAGTCCCTTTGGGCATGCAGAACCAGTTGTGCTTTTTGTGTGTCTTTGATATTAAGTTTATCTATGCTCACAGAGCCAGAAAAAGCTCCCATGTTTATTCTTTTAAAAAGCATTGACTGGACCCTTAGAAACAGACCCACTAAACAGACACAAACACTTTTGTAATTGTTTGGCACACTTTATATTTGTTAAAAAAGAATTCGGCCCATGTTCTATATCTTTCCTAAACACAGGCTGTTGGTACAAGTCTTTGGATTTTGTAAGAAAAAAACGCTTCTTGAAATTTATTTGCTGTAGTGTGTCCTTATCTATTCTGGACTGTGATTCTAAAGTGTCTCTTTCTGAATCCAAACATGTATTTACAAAGAAATAGTTCTTCCAAATCTTTGCACAAGAGCTTTAAAATATTAACCATATTCTACATGACCATCAGATAATGAATTCCTCATGTCCCTTTAGTAAGCCACCAGGAAATTCTACATATAGCCTTCCAGTTATATTTGTCAGGCAGAAAATATATGCAGGAAAGAGTAAAAGTGACTTTCATCAGGGATGTTAAGGAGGTTAAAAAAGGAAGCACCTCTGAACGCCAAATCAGTTATTTTCATGTCAATGCTTTCGCCAAGGAAACAATCAGATTAAGACAAAACTAGAATTATAAACTGAACATGCTTCACTATGTGGAACATTTCTGTTCAGGGTTCCAGCCACTCCACTCCACAACTCTGGCTTCTTTCCCAATTGTTAGCACTCTGAGCCTACTGAGCATGCTCAGTTCTTGCTGAACTATTCTGGGCTTTTTGAAGTAGACACTCACGAACAGTAGTTCTTGCCGAATTGTTGTGGGTAATAACAATTGTGAACTCTTGTTCACAATCCCAACTGCACTACATTTCTCTGAATCTGTAGGAACACATAAAATGCTTTTCAGTATGAACCAGGGAGAGACCTATTCAGAATTAGATGGTTCTCTCTAAACATTTCTATCTCTACCCTTCTGTGTGCGCTCCGTATTCTATTCTTCCATCCCAGCCAAATATCAGGCTTTCCCCCCCTCTTAGCCAATCAGCATTCCCTGCCATTGAGGTACTGTGTGGCTGTTCAGAAGATTTTTCACCCACCTTGGGATTCTTCCCCATGTTGTTGCTGTTTTGCAAAACTGGGTATCACCCTGGGTTTACCAATACCCTCTTGCCCAATTTGGTAACTGAACTGAATCACAGGAAGACTTCAGTCAGTATTAGCATATACAACAACATATGGAAATGAGTCCAAAACTGTGAGCTTTGAAGGTGACAAGGTGAAAATTTATGGAGTTACACAGTTGGTGCAGAGCTGAAAGCGCTCTCTCCTGTTCCTATTCAAGTGAAGAGCAAGAGAGATGGAGCCACAATTTACACCTTTGCTCCTTTGCAGCCTGCAAGATATCGGGCCTGGAAAACTCGAGAGCAAGAATGCCTGCTTCTTCTCATCCCATATTTTGCTGCTACTAGTGAGGGCAGCCAGCTCCAAAATCCCCCATAATAAGCTTCCATACATGAGTGGTACTGTGGGGAAAGAAAGGATCTGGGACTGGAGCACCAGCAAGAAAAGGCAACTGAAGGCCCATGGTGCCTGGGTAACAGATTCTGGGGTGAAATTAGCTGTTCTTCCAGTTTGCTGGAATGATGATGATTTTGCATTCTCTTCTTACTCCTCTGACTTATCCTTTTCTACAATTTCACCCAAGGGAGCCTACATAAATACACCCGTTCTGACTTCCCACTGTCTGTCCCTTAATCCATGCCACTCCTCTAGGATTGTATATTCTTACTGTACACATTTCTATCCTTAACTCTTATGTAAAGCATTTCCAGGACTGGCTCAGAAAGCAAGGAATAAAAATACAAGGATGGGGTGGGGGGAACCCGGAAATCAAAGCAGAATAAAACTGTTGATCCCTCGAGGTGGGGGGCATGTGCACACATGCAAGAGAGAGAGAGAGAGACTAAAAGTATAAAAGGCTGGCAAAACTGAGGTGTGTGCTGAGCACCAAAATGACAAGGAGTCAGCACACCCCAACGAGGGCATTCCTGAGTTCCAGCCACACTGAGAAAGGCCTTGGTAAGGGAGCTGAATTGGAGATGCTTCTTGTTTTGACTCACAAACTGCAATTCCATGGGAGGGGCAGAAGGAAGGTGGCCATGAGGGGTGACAAGCACAGCCATCTTGCTTGTACTTGAGAAACTGCAGCCTCGGAGCGGCTGCTGCTGGGGACGTTTCCCAAGCTATCCAAGCCATTGTGGCAACTCCTCCTGCGGCATTTGCAACAACCTGGAGGGCTGTCTTGCAATTTACTACCTCCACTTTCCAGAATGAGTATATAACTGAACGCTAAAGGCCTGTTATCCATGTACACATGGGAAAACACACAAGCAACCCTTTGTTTTGCTTTAACCATACAGAACTGAACCAATGTTTCATTTTTATTAAAAACAGGTAATCACAGGAAAGAAAGAGCTATTTGAAAAGTATTATGTGCACAATTATCACTTAAAGATGAGTCACTGTTAAGTTAAAATGTCAGTAAGGTACATCACACTGTAGGTTTAATATTGCAGTAAGACACAGGGAGTGGAAATGGCTCCTGGAATAATTAGATTAAAATGCACGCTGCCCAGCTCGGAACACACACACAAACACTGCTTTCCTTTTCACTGCACAGCAGCGGTATTGCTTGCTTTGGAGGCCACACTGAGGGTTCCCTATGCCTGAGCTAGGCTACTAGTTCTGCATCAACAGCACTTCCACTGCATATCCATTGCTACAAGAACCAACATTACCACGTACTTTTCATTTGAATAGTTTGCTCCAAGCTCACCTTCTCTGTGAGAGAGAGCCATTCCACACATATTAGCTGACAGTATTATTGAAACTCACATTTTGGCACAGCAAATGTAGAACACGGACACCCTTCCCCGTAGACAAGGCTCTGGGGGATTTAAGGTAGTTGCCTTCAGAGAGCAAGAACATCTCTCTAGTCATTTTCCTTGTTCCTTTCCCAACTTTCTTTCTGGTTATGAGTGATAATACCGGGAAACCCATTTTTGGCTATCCTTTCTGGCAGGTCAGAGCTTAGTTATACTTGGAACCAAGTCTTCTCTTCCATCTGGAGATGCTCACTATTCATTATGCCAAACGTTTAGAATGTCACCACCTCGAAATGCCAAGCAATCAGGTAACAGCACCTGAAAGCCAAATTCTCCTGCACAAGCAGGACATGATCACTTAATAGATTCATTGCTTCCCTTCTGGCACATCAACCTCAGGTGAAGGTTAACTATCATTTTTTGTGGCACCCAAACACTGATTTCAGGGTGCCCTGTGTGCGAATGGAACAGAGAAGTGTGCTCCCAGGTACAAAGGGTCCGGAACTTTCCTTCACAGCCTTACTGCGAAGTATCCAGGTTCGTCTGCTGGACAAATGCCAGGAAAAAGGCATTCTGATCCATATTTATTCTTCTTAGTTTAACAGTGCAAATCTATAATAAATAATGAGCTATGTTTGGCTTGCTACATCCACTTCTGTTATTTTATAGATTTTGTTAAGGAAGACTTCAACTTTATCTTCACCCAAAGAACAGATATCCAGAATACAGATGACATGCTGTTTCTCCAGGTCAGCAGCTGCTTTTACAACTTCATCTGGTGTGGAAACATGAACATGAATTAACAATATGAGGAGACCTAACTTGCTTTGTTACATATCCAGAAAAAAACATTAGTGTCAACTGATTGCTTTTTCTATCATGTTATGTCCCAGAATGGTTGTAATGAAGTGGGAAATGAAGAAAATCTATTCTCTCACTTCCAACTCTATGACAACAACAAAGCAAATCCATTCACAGGAAGTCCAGTTGCATGCCTAAGCCAAAGAGGAAAACTGCCACCGTTGTCTTCATTGAGATCATGTATTAGCAGCTTAGACTTTTGAATATAAACTTCTTTGTTTAGCAAAATTTAATAAAGGTGGACACTGAACTATTGTTTGGAATTAACTGTAGAAAATGCTGTATGTGAAACTTGTTGTGAAGCAACAAACAAAAGAGTAAAATCAACTGCTTCTATTTAAAGACAGTCCTTCAACATTTCACTTTTCTGGAGCTTAGTATGCTCCCTAATGACCCCCAACAGATTTGCAGCTTCCGGTTTTAAACATAAAAACACAAGATGACAAATGATTGGCACAATAAAAAAAAGCTTCCATCAACTTCCTGGTTTCACATATCTGAAGAGACTGGCAATTCCTTTACGCACCATAAGACAAGTTGGCACTAATAGGCAGAAAAGCGTAATTTGCAATCATTCTAGATTGTGGGTCAAATATTCAAGACCAGTTTGCTTTGCAGACACAATTACACAGGCGAACACCTGCAGGGAAGGCATGCTCATTTAAGCACGCGGGTTTTGCAGTTGCCAACTAAAAATTGTTTTTCAAAAGGAAAGAGGAAGTGAGCCTCAAAAACTGTTACAATTCATTAATAATGTTGCCACTTCTTCAGGGAGAAGATATTATAATTCATTTAGACACAGCTCAATTTAAAATGGTTCACTGCTCAGCACTGCAATGAGAATCGAAGAATTGCCTTGGGTAGCCAAACCAGCAGTCTGCCTTCAAACATAATTGTCCAGAAGTGACGTTTCAGTGGAAAGGGCAAACCTTCACTTACAACCATACCTGCTTACTTTGGGGCAAGCAATAAGCTGCAAACCACCCTGCTGTCATCGAGATGGTCCTACCTGAAAGGGAAAGTAGCTCAGGGAGCTCTTCTTTGCTCGTTGTCTCCTGATGACATGAGGTGCCACTGGCACGAGGCAACACTGCATCACTTGGCACAGCTTCTGCTGGAAATAAATTAGATTCTTCGGGACAGCATATCGGCAGGAAGGCTACGTCGACTGCCATGTCATGATTTAAGCCTGTACGAGAAATAGTTATCTCTTGTTACCACCAGATAACTTAAGGAACTGTTTAATTGCCTGCAGGAATCCCTTTCGCAAAGGAAGCTTTGGACGAGATGTTGATGATGCGAGTATAGCAAATCATCCAAGCTCTGATGCCTGCCTTTTGCTATGATTCTTTGGCACATCTTTAAAAGATTTCAGGAATGGCAAGTTGAAATATCAGTTTAAACAGGTCCAGTGATCTGCATGGCTCAATATTCAGCCACAAAATCCTAGAGCAAAATCTTAAGGTTACGGCTATAACCATCCAGAGAGCCATGTGGCTACCGTAATGGTCTGTAAAAGCTTGAAATACTAGTAAATAATACTCTGGTAATTACCTGTCTAAACTTTCCGTGGAAATGTCTAGAAAAGTTCTACTGCATTTCTAGGTAGCTTGCAGCTTCGTTTCCCTGAATGCATACTGTAAATGTGTGGATTAGCTTGCATTAGCTTGCATGTTTTTTAAGAAACATGAATGTTTCTTAAAAAACCAACCCCAACCTCAAAGGAATTTGGTTGCATTGATTACAACTCTAAGCCAGCTCAGGTTGAGATGAGACCAAATTGTGGGTCATGATGAAAACCTATTCTATTGATTAAATATAGTCAGCAGGCATTCCTTGTATGATGTAATTCCTAGATCCTTTTACAGCCTTGTAATTTTTCTTTGAAGCACTTTAAATATCTTTCTAATACTGAGCAAATTACTCCAAATGACATATTATTGATTTTGAATAAAGTTGCACAATTTCCGCCACAAACCTCTGCCCAAAGTCTTGGAACCTGTGCTGCTGTTCATTTACAAAGACTAGTATAACATTGCCCTTCATTGCTCCAATCCTGCTGTTAAATAATTTTCAATTTTATTCCTGAGATAACTTACATCTATCTTGAATGTGTTGCCACATTGCAGACTTTCACCGTCTTGCTCTACATTGGGGTGATCTTCCTCCAGTGTAATTGCATTTGCCCTTGTTCAATTCTCTCCCCCTCAACTCTGCCCAGCTCTGCAGATTATTATGAAGTTGTAAACTATCTAAAATTATCTCAGTAAATGGCAGAGCTGGGCAGATTAATTAAAAGCTGATTCCTTTGTAAAGGCAGAGGACATTAATTATACAGTCAAGCAGTAGGCCCTGCAAGCTTGGGACAGACATATTATGGCTGGGCTCCAAAGATCTACCTTGGGCAAGTCAAGAGTTTTGTGTGAATTCACAAGAGGACTGCCTCTGCTTCTAACAGCAGACCAGCATGCCATGTTACAGCTGGCTCGTGAAACTCTGCTGTTTCGGCAGTGGCATACCATGAGAGGTCTGCCATTTGAAAAACACAAACCAAAACCTCTCTTCCTCCCTCCTTTCTGTATGTGTTTGTGTAGTAGCAAGTTCTGTGAGTCCTACCCTACGTTCCTTACAGGTGATCTAAAGCAACCTACTGCTCCTACAGAGTAACAAATATGAGTATCTTATCCATTTAGCAGTGCATAGCATTCATTCGTTAACATCCAGACTTCAAAACTGTTAACATGTCCTAGCCAAGTACTGCACTTTGTCTTGGAAAGATGGTGGTTACTTACTAAGAATAGCTACTTCATAGTATTCCAGAGGACAAGTATTTTCAAAGACTTTCACTTCTCCATTTCTTATATGTTCTTTTGGTTTCCAACTGGCTGGGTGAAGATTGTATCGCTGCATAAGTAATTCTTTGTGCATGTAATTAAATTTACAAGGGAAGCTTTCTGGGAAAACGGTGCTGTAGTTTAAGTGCTGTGTTAAGTTGTCTTTTACTGCTGTCCAGAGAGTGCTTTCCCAGGAATTATGGCACCTCCTCCTTGCTTGAACTGTTTCACACACATCAGCTGTTTCTTTGTCACCTGCTAATATGAAGATTGTAAATGTATGGTTAATCTCCTCTTATCCAGAGGCTCAGCCTTACTGCCACTCTCTCTCAGATCCAATGGGCACCTCGGTTCCTAGCATCTCGTCATTTTGCAAAACAGAAGCTAAGGCACACAGAAGAACAAACTGGATATACACAGACCGACCTCCTTTCACACGTACATTACGATGAATTCCTTTTCTCTTTGTAATAAGCCTGGAACCTCTGAGCTCAGCAAATGCTGTCCTCTTTGCCAGGCTCTTAATGCAATCTAGCCATCCAAGGCGTGCCCAATGTCAGGTACTCTGCAAAGGGAAGGCTCCATGCCTAAAACAACATTGCCACTAGTGAATATATTATGACTCATTGTTGCACACCTTTGCACTCACCCCTCCTGGCAAGAAATGTTCAGTCCAGCTAGTACTCCAAATACCCTTCCCCTCTTGCTCTGGGAACCCCTCCTGTTTGTAGCCAAATCCTGGCAAGAAAGTCTAACAAAGAACTCCAGCTCGGTTTTGCTCAGCCTTTTACTTGTAAGTTAGCTTCGCTTCTCACTCCTACCCCTGCATCCTCATTTTCCTTCCCCACCTCTAATTTCATGACTTTGTGGTGTTGTCAGTGCTCCAAGGGAACTTACAATTTGTGCTCCCCTTCCTACTGTTCACCTTAAAAGGCCTGTGTAGAACAGGACTAAGGGGATCCATTAGGGGTCTGTAAGGGCTCCACTTTTCCCCAGGTCCTTTTGATAGCCGGGCACCTAGAATTGCCTCCTGATATACAGGCCTCCCCCAAAGAAGATGGCTCTCCTTTCCTTCTGCTCTAGGAAAGGTACCATCTGCACTCCAAATCCCTCTTCCTACCTCGCTTTCCCCCCTTTCCATCCCCTCTAACATCCCAAGATACTGTGATGCCAACCAGGATTGTTACTGATTTTTCTCTTTAACCTGATTTGGATCTTGGAATCTCTGTCCAAGAACTACGGGTCTGCCCTCTCCTTCTGTGTACACAGGATCCTCCCCTTAACTTACAATACTTTCCAGTCCAACTTAAATACTGCCAGTGCAATCATTTTGTTGTATTAGAAACTGCATATTCTTTTATGCTAGCTCTCGCGCATCAACATGTTGCTAATCTCCTTAATTTTAGCCTCCAATACCTGCTGGCTAAAGTTCCCAACATGCATTTATTTGTTCAGGGGGGAGAGGGAGAGAGAGAAGACACACGCAGGCAAGCACGCATGGACTCCATTGACTGCTAATAAAAAAGGCTACTTCTTAAAAAAAAATTATCTGAGAAAAGCAAGCATAGCAGCTGGGCAATTATAACACTATAATTAGTTCTATTTCAAGTGAGGAAGGTGCATTGGGAGTGAAAAAATAGTATTTTGTCTATTTTCTTAATAAAGGGGGGGGGGAACCCACTCACGTTCTTTAACATTACCAGAAACTGCCCAGATTTACAAAAGCTCTTTGCAAATTGATTTGTTCTTCCAGGCAGAATGATTCGCATAACCTAGCCATTGTTTCCATCATTCTCATTCTACACAACATTTATTAATCTGGCTTTTGAGGTAATCTGACTACAACTATTTCCTAAATAAATAAATAAACTGACAGAATTTCCCACAAGTCTTCATACAATATACAAATGTTATATGAATAATTAGTGCTGTTCCATTGAAGATGCCCAGTATGAGCCATCTAAGCCTCTGGACACATCATGAGAAGGCAAGACTCCGTGAAGACGACCATCACACGAGGGAAAGGTGAGGGCAGAAGAAGAAAAGGAAGACCAAATAAAAGGTGGGTGATTCCATAAAGGAAGCACAAACTTCAAAGAGCAGAATTGCCAGGGAAAGGGTATTTGAGGGCTTTCATTCATTGAGTCACAAGTCAGAAATGGCACGTGACAACAAACGGCTGCACGATGTGGCCAAGCATTCTGGCTGTGCAGAAAATCCTAACTGTCTGTAATATATTTATGATGCTGACATATATAAGGGTGCCCCACAAAGCAAAGTCTAGGCCAGACCATAGAGGATAATCTGAAATGTTGTTCCAAATGAACCGTAACAAATTACAAGCTTTTAACCAGTGTCCACTACACTAGGAATTAGTTAAGAAAATCTGATCCTGCTCATCACTTTCTAAAGAAAGAAGGAAAATACATTTCCTTAGTATTCTTCTGCCACAAATCCAGATGGGAACACGCAGCATTTTAGGTTTTGAAAAAGATTTAGCACTTGTTAGTTATGTTAATGATCATCATTATCCTTTCTTCAATGCATAAAGATGCAGCAATCTCAGACAATGAATGCAAGGCTGAGATCATTCATTTTCATAATAAACGTGATAGACACCTGTATCCAGATAACTTCACAAATGTATTTCCCAGCACTTTTTTTTTACTACCACCATACACACACTCACCTGGAAGCAAACTTATTTAAGTAAGATAAATGGCCATGAGATCAGGCTGCATGTCACTCTGTTTTGGAATCTGAATGCGATGATTCTCATTTAGAATTGTAAAACAAGAATAACTGTTCCAGTTCTAGCTGCAATGCAGCAAGTTCGGGAGTTGAGTGTAACTATTATCAAATCATCTAAATCCTAATCTTTCTAGCAGCCACTGGCTTTAAAAAATCTCTACGGCCCAAAGAACTGCCTTGTGCACAAGAATTATATCCTCGGATGCCATATGGTGAAGCAGCACTGACCAGCAGGGAGACTAGAAGATTCATGTTAGATCATGTCTTACCTTCATACGCAATTGCCCGTCTCCTCGTTACATATGATTAGCTAGTATTGCCTTGACACAGAGTGGTCGGTGCTTATGCACCACGAGAAGGAAAAGGAGTTATGGTAACTAAAAGGCGAGCTTTAGTTACATGGAACGAAGTTCTTGAGACTACTTCTATGCTTAGCAACATATACAACTTACGATTTTCTTATAATCTTGCCCTGTAAACATAATGCATTGATATAAAAGATGAGGAAAGCCTATGAACTTTGCTTTCCACTCTGGTCCTATGGTGATGATGGCTTTGTTGCGATGGAGGCGGCAGAGAAATGCTTTAAATAAATAGTAAAATAAATAAATGATTAGGAATGGCTGATTTTAATTTTATATATAGTAATCAAGTAACAAATCTTACTTTTACAGGGTTGCATTGCTTCTACCACTTCGTGGCTTTCTTCTCTTGAAGAGGAATTTTCTTGCGTATGTAACCTGCAACCCCGCCACAAAAAAATAAAATAAAAAAATGAAGGCATGGGGAGCCATTATTGCACCATTATTATCTAATCAGAAAGTGTAACATACAGAATGCTGAGATTGTGGCATTTTACCAGCTGACAAGAACAGTCACTAATTCTTAATACTTTTTTTTAACTTCAAAGTATCTGTGCTAGTGTGGGTACATTTTAATACCCTCTTCCCAAGACAAAGACACAGAGTCTAAAATGGAAAAAAAAGATTTCAAGGGACTTTAACTATAGATTTCCAATGCCGTGTCCCCTTTGGTCCTCAGTAAATCATTGGAGGTAAACAAAACCCACCCCAGTTAACTTTTTTAATGTTTAAAACTCAAGAACTACATTTTCCCCAGAATTTACTAGCTAGAAATATAGGATCTAAAAACAGCTTTCCTCTCTGACTGTTGGGAGTTTGCTTGAAGATACAAGAGATGCTAGTAGCAGTATAATCCAATTTTAGAAACCATCCCACATTTCTTTGCTAATTCTGATAAAATTTCCAGGGTACATAAATGCTATAAATGTGGGGTTAGTGGATATAAACAGAGAACTGCAAGGAGTCATCAAACACATCCATTATTTCAGAGACTAAGCTGCTAAAGCATTGTATTTCAAACTACCAATAATCTTTATTAATTCAGATATCATCACCCAGGGTAAGATCAGTAAAACAAGCAGGACTTTGTGTTGGCCGTCAGGAAACATTATGCACAGAATTTTGGAGACCAGATGTACAGTGGACTGTATTATACATTGACTCTCTTCTACATCAACAGTACAAATAAAACCTGTGGAATTTCCTTACAGAATAGTGTACTTTTGCAGAGGCAGCATATTTTTATGAAGGTATCATTTGGGTCTAAGAATCTTAATTTTGTCAAGCTAAACAGGAAGAAAGCTCCAGGCTAAAATGTAGTTGTTGTATTTTATATTTAATACATTCAAGCTTTTTTCCATGAATGATGATCAAGAAGGAAACAGAGGTACATATGTTTGTGTATTCACAGTATGTGTATTCACAGTACAGTATTGCAGAAATGAACCTGATAAGCAAATACTTTTCTGGGTTAGAAAGACAGCAAAATACAAATTATATACAACCCTATGGGGAAAAAGAAAACCCTAACACTAGTTTTGTAATGTGGATGAATCTTACCATTTCCAGAAGTTTCTTCAACAGAAGAAAAAGGCAGGCAGAAACTTGGAACTGTTTAGATCAAACTCTGCCATATGGCAGGTCTATTCTATCACAGCTTCTAGCTTTATTATATTAAATGAGGTCTAATATTTTTGTTTTTGCTATTTTAATAAGTGAAACTGTGTATGTTAAAAGGGCCTTAAATTCCAGTAAAGAAACCAATTATTTTGGCCAAACATGGAACAGCTGGGTTATCACTATGTTAAAAAAAAAAAGATCCAATTAAGATGAATTACTTTTCACAATATTTAATTCCTTGCAATTTTTGAAATACATTGCAGTATAGTTTCCAACTGGTTTAGGAGGCACTCAGTTTGTCTGGACACAAACCTGATATCACTGCCCTTTCCAACCCTTGTCTCACTCCAATTACCATTCTTAAAGCTCATTAAATAAGGTCAATTTGTATTACAAAACCCATTGCAACACACACTCACAAACATCTAGGTACATACATCTGGAAGCTGAATTGGGTCATTGCTCCTATCCACACATTCTGGAACAATGCTAACATTACAATTAAAAAAGCTGACAGAAAGGAACTATAATTGTTGTGAACAAATTGGAGGCTGACAGACAGTTCTCCAGCATCCTATTTTATAAACTCTTATCTTTAGATTTCACTGAAGAATACTAGAAGGAACTAGACCACATGGTAATTTTCCAGGAACTTTGATTAGGCAACTATATGCTTTCTAAACTAAATGATCCAGGAAATCCTGGGCACCCACCCCCAAAAGGCTTGGGGTATCAGTAATGCTACACAGCTGAAGCAGCTGGTTATATGGATGCCATGCTTCAACCCCATAACTTCAATACCTATGGGACACTGCTGGCATCCCAAACAAACTACAAATCATCATCAATATTCCAGAAAACACCTTCCTGGCTGTCATGGATGTTGAGAGTCTTTATACCACTTTAAGAAGTTCAATGAAATGGAAAAGTGACAGAGAAATTGCCACTTACATTATTTTTTTTCCTGCTGACCTTGTGAAGTATTTATATCCAGAAGGTAAAGGAAGAGGGTCTCTTGTCCTTAAAACAAATAGTAAATCTGTATTACTTCACTGAGTAAGCAAACTTGAATTGGGGACTTGACTCCTTTATTATGAAGTCATATTTTTTTTTTCCTTAATGAAAACTGAGGTGCCTTCGTCCAACGGGCAATGTGTCTTGTTCCATGTACAAAACATACTTTCTGCTAGTCTGGGCATGAGAGAATTCCTAATTCTTTTCTTGATATGTAGAGAACCTGAGCCCCATTTTAAAAGCCATCTTATTAAACACGAGCTCTTCAAAAACACACAAACCCCACAAGAACAGCAGGGTATAATTCTTACACAAAACTTTAGGAATAGCTGGAACAGGTCTGTACGACCCAGCCTAATTTCACAGAGCAGAATCTGCATGGGTTTTGCTTTCATCAGAACAGCTGCAGGAAAGGACAAGATCAGGTTAACACATTGATTGCAATAAGATGAAATGGCCTTCACATTCCATATTCATTGGTTTGTGGACTTGGCTGAATAAAGACACAATAACCTTACTGGATATGTAAGATTTCCTCTGGACTGTGCATGTCCTTATCCTGTAGTTCCCCACCCTAGTCTGAATGAATGCCATACTAGAAAATGGTATTGTACAATCCATCAATCATGCAGATGGTAAGGAACCCATGGAATGAACCCATTCTCACTCAGTATGGCTACTTTTCTTTAGTGAGGCCATTCCCAGATATTTATCATCTAACCGGGACAGCCCTGCGAATAGGGTTTCCACTGTCAATGAAAACAGAATTCAGCCCACTGATCCACCCCATTTCAAACAGGTTAATTCCTGTGCTATATATGCCTCATCTTGTTCTGAAAAGAGTATGCGGAGGCAGAATTGTGCCCTAAAATGGACAAATGTCAACAATATAAAGAAGGGACATTAAAGAATCTGTTCCATTTTGTAGAAGCAGCTTACTGTACAGCTGGAATCTTTCTCTTTGATCGGCTCTTTCTGGTTACGATGCATGGCTCCTGCAAAGATGATGGAGACCCTTGCACAGAAGTTGCTTCCTCGGCTTGCTGATGCTTTCTTATTTCTTGCTCAGCAGAGTCATTTTCTGACTCAGAAATCTGCAATAGTGACCTTCTGTTAATCTATTGGAGTTTGAATAGCTGGATTGGTTCACAACACATTCAGTTTCAGGTATGACTAATTTTTCACTCTCTTAGCAGAAGCACTCATTAACATGTCATATCCTTAACTGCCCTGATTTATTTTAAATACACCATGCAAAATACTCTTAAAATCATACACCAACATACAGTGATTATACTTCCTGATGAGGTGTTTACTGTGATATTGCCCTGCCTCTTTCATAGATTTTTATGGGGGGGGGGGATCAGCTGTTGTTATCACCCCCTTTCACTCTTCTCATGTTTTCCCACTGCAGTTTCTGTCTTTATCCGTACCACTGAAAATGCATTAAGGAAAAAAATGGAGGAGATACATATGTCTACTGATAGTACTAGGAGGCACTTCAAGTTATTATAACTTTAAAAACCTTAAAGTGTGACTTTCAAATTCTGCTTGCTCTCAAAATCAGGGAAAAATGTTAATCAAGAGACAATGTCTGCAGGTTCTCTGAATTCAAATGCACAAGTTCTCCATTGTAATTATGATCACAGTATCCTAAGTACTATACTATTAATTCTCAAGCACCATACCTGCATTGGTTCCACTCCTGAGGCAACTTGAGATGTATTGCTACAGCTGACATATCTTATAGCACTAATTATCCCCTGAAAAGCAATGCGTTTCTGCTCCCTGTAGTGCAGGCTTTCAATCTCCTTCTCCATTTCACTGATGGTTGTCAAAACTGATTCACCTGCAAAGAGCAATCCCCTGAAACTTCGTTTTAAAGAAACAGTACCACCAAAAAGTATGAATATAAGATTTGTAAGATTCATATGGAAAATACTTTAATACGGAGTTATTGTTTTTAAGCTGACACAAAACAGTATCTAAAGCACTTTCATTTGCAAAACATTTGAGAAAAGCAGGCGTTTGGGCAGTTTCAGTTAAATATGGACAGAAAGCATATCTTTTTTGCCTTAAACATTTCAGGCCATCCCTGGAACTCTGTGGTGCCATGAAACCTACATCCATACACAGTAAGGATGCAAAGCCATCACGCCCCTTTGATTGCATTGCGATTTTTACATACTGTCGCTTTAAATTGCAGTCAGAGTTAAAGCCCAGACCACCTCTGCCCTTTCAAGCTGGCCACAGGGATGGCAGGACCAAGGGAGAAAATACACAATTTTCTTGCAACTTCCAGACCATGGCCTGACATGTTTTCAGAATCTATCGATAAAGACCTGGATTGTGTGAAGTTGCAAAGAAATGCCAACACCCCCTCAGAAAGTGATGAGCATGATTGAGAGTACATGAATGAAACGAAGTACCTTTAACACTTTTACAAAACTTCAAAAAGGTGTCAGGGACAGGTGGGAAAGGGTAATATCCACCAATGGCAGCTTTCTCCATATGAACCGCTTCCTGCTGAGTTTTAATCCACTGGATAAAGCACTTCACCTTGTTATCTTTTGTATATGGCTGGCCCTTGTGCCACCCTATTATGCAAAAGAAAAAGGTTGCGGTAGTTATGGTGCAAGAATCAAAAGATGAAAACAGTAGCATTTAGAAGTGACCGTGTATGAACTGGTTTCCCAGAAGCGTCATACCCAGTGCACACCTCTTCGATGAGCCTGGCCCATCAGTGGTGGCGGGTGCCGCAGGGGCAGGGTTCTTCTGACCATTCTGGTTGATGTACACAAAACTGACTAGTGGGGATTGTAATGTTACATCGAGCAGCTATCATTCTGTGAAGCAATTCAGGGCACAACTGCTCCTGTGTCCACTAGTATCCAGTGCAGGGTGGGAGAAGTGACCGTTGCCTCTCTATGCTTTGTACTCTGTATTTCAGCTGGATGACCAATTCTGGTACTTTGGAGAGGGAAAGCAGCAGGCTGCAACAGCTAGGACTTCTCATATCCTGGTGACTCCAGTCCCCCTCCCTCCTGTCCTGCCCTGTCCCGATTTTGACCCCAGAGAAGCAGCCAGCGTAGCTCTTGCCACACTGGCTCTGAGGGGAGACAGGGAGATCAGAGTGTGGATCCCCAGCTCCAAGACTGAAGCACTAATAATATGTTTGCCTAAATCACATGCAACTGGCAATGCGCTGTCTCCATTAATATAGCACCTAGCAACATGTTATTGATATTAAATTAACATGCAACAGGCGCTGATAAGGCTGCCTCTCTTGAGAAACAGACAGGGAACTATCCCAGAGTGTGGAAGCCATGCAGACATGTGTGATAATATTTAATACATTTCTATTATATGGAGCAGAAATGAGGGCCAGCTACAGTTTCTTGATGCGAGTGGGAGCTGTTTCAGTCGTCAGGATTGTTGTAGAGAGGTAAAAAGGGAAACAGGAAGCTGCTTCAAAAGTACATGGGCAGAAGAAGGGGATTGCATGATTTGCATGTACTGATGATTTTTTAATGCTATTTACCTGTAACAAATATTTCACTTTCATTAGATGTTGTTAGGTAAACTGGACAGGAGCCATTCTCAGAGGTATCACGTATCACCCTCATCTGTGTACATACCAAATATGTCACTGGAGATGGAGAGGGAGCTGCATCACTTTTTTGTAAAGATTATTTTGATATATTTACTTATTTTACATGCACATGCCATGTTATTTACGCATCTTTTGGAGTAAAACTTTTAAGCACAATTCCACTGTAGCACTGATGAATATACAAAATGTTACTATTAATAACAAAAGCTACCAATGGCAGGAAAAAGCACTATTACAGTTAATACTTTCCATGATTTCAAGATCAATCTAATTTAATTTTTTATTCTTCCCAGAATTTTCTTCAGTAGACAAAAGATCTTATACAATGTTGTGCAAACGAAGTCCAGCAGGTAAGGAACTTGAGTCTGGTCTATACCATCCACTGCTGGGTTCTGGCTATGGAGGGTGTTTTGCCACTGTTCCTCAGCTTTTTCTCTCTCATCCTTGCCGCTCGCCTGCATAACAGGCAGGCAGGGCATATCTTGCTCCTCTTCACCACCTCTATTAGCTGGGCCAGGCTAAGGCAAGTGAACAAGCAGCCTGCAACTGTGGAGCAAATTCAGAAGGCTCTTTTTAAGGGGTCCCTGCTGGAAGGGCCCTTAGCAAGTGCCCAACTGCACCTGCCCTTGACACCAGATCCAACACCGCTTCGGAAAGAATGTTGAGCAACTGACTGCCACCTCTGAATTGAAAAATACCGAACATAGAGAACTGGATGCAAGAGAAACATGTCCTACCCTAACCCCTTTCCTCATGCAAGACTTTTCTTCCTTTTGGGATCTTTTCTGAAAAGGGAGAGCCCCCATTTGCAATTTGAAATAGTAAAAAGACTCCTCTGCTCCTTCTGAGAACTAAGAGGCATGTCACAGCATACCAGTTTCACTGAAAGGAAATCGTGTAAGTAGTTTACTGCCTTCATGCCCCGCTTTTGGGCTTTCAGAAAACATTTCAAAAAGGGATAGAACAAACAAACAAACATTTGGCTGACTACTAAGGGAAACAAGGTGCTCCACTAAGAGGACCTAAGAGGACCCTGGGACTGATCCAATATCACGATCTTAGGGCCATACCATCTCACTCCTGGTGGACACCTACATACAGTGCCTTAAGGCTATAAACTATCCCCAAGGACTGTGTGGATTACAAACACTGAGGGCTGCGCCATAAATACAGATAGATATATAAACAAACGGAAGGCTTCATCACATGTGGCATTCTTTCTCAACTGTAATTCGGAAGTAAACATGTCCACCCATGTCCACCATTGTATCTGAAGGTGATACACGTGTTTATGTTGCTGCGATTTTGTGTGTTTGCAAATTGTGGGAGACTAGAACAGAGGAACCCCATGGCACCTTCCACTTCCCTATTTCCATTGTTTTGGCAGGGAAATTGGAAAGCACTGTGGTGGTATTAATCATTACTGTGGTGCCTGAAATATAAAACAGACTTGTAAAAAACAAAAACAAAACAACTTTTAACATATTAACATAAATACTTGGATGAATTTGTTCAAATATCTCTGGCTGAGATGTGGCAAACAATTCTAATATGAAGGGCTGCTCAGAGGTCCCATCTACAACATGCACCCAGCGATGGATCCAGAAATCTTCTCCATGTTCTGCAAAGGCAACAGAAATGTGGATGAATGCTTGAAAGGAATACATTTGAACAAACTGAAAGGGATTTCAAACAGACTTTTGGACTACCTCTTTTTCTTGTACGCTCAGTCCTTCCCACATACTGTACCAGGCCAATAATATCACAAGAGTGATTGTTTGGTAAGTTATCTAACTCTGACCTAAAACAGATGGAATTGCAGCAGTCACATTTAGAGCAAAACTGATCTGAATATTCAAAGAAAATCTTTGGGTAGAGAACACAGGCAAAAGTCCTGCACCTCACAAGAGTCAACTTATGATTGCTATCAACGTATCCAAAAGGACTAATATACTGATGGTTACTGAAGGAGTTAACTCCTGAACAACATTTTTTTTTTTTTGCCCTCCCTGTCCTGCCTCCCCCAACACACTCTGTAATATCACTGATTCTGGTCATGTATACTGCTATGACAAACTGCCTATTAAAAAGAACATTAAAAAACTGTAACCTTGTTATAAATCGATATTTAACTTCAGGCAACTTCCATTCCACTTTAACTTTATTTTCTGGAATGATGTTAATTTTAGTTGGAGGGTCTCGCATATTCAAAGTGATTTCTAAAAATGAAACAAACAAAGTGTTCTGCTTTGGCTGAATATTGACTATATCAGTAATAAAAACTGGCTATGACTTTATGCAAAGCAAGCATATCTTTATTAAAATTGCATTATCTCACTTTGAAGTTTTTGAATAAGACAAGTTATTAACTGCACACACTTAAACATGGTATTAGGTAACTTGGAAACAAGGACCTTTCTGAACAGCAAGGAGCACTGAAGGAACAGAGTGGGGATGACAGTACCAAAAGTGCCCAAGCTGCACGTTTAAGCAGCTGTCAAAGGCTCCCTGGACTCATCCTGGCAGAGGCATCCTGCTCAGTTGAGACCAGCAACGGTGGAGACAACCAGTGCTCCTTTGGCCCTCCTCCAGGGAACGGGGCTTCAGGGAATGGCGTACCTTGGAAGAGAAGCCTATGAATATCACTGGGCACTTGCAGGTAGCTGTCATCAGCCCCCACTATGCCACACTTGGCCAGAGTGGCAGAGAGACCGTGCGGCTCAGCCCAAGCAGCTTGCTTGCAGTGGGGCCTCCCTTGACCTGTGCGTCACTCAGCAGGCCACAGAGAGTTAGCCAACCCTACAGCAAGCCATAATGTCATTCTGACTTTGGACGACACATTTAAGTCCCAGTGGCTTTGAAATTATGATGCCTTAAGCACCTTGTGCAAACCTACCCACTACACTGAAGGGAAGAAGAGAGATATTTCTATAGCAGAAATCATTCAGACCGAATGGCCTGGCAAACAGGAACACAAAGAATGGTAAATCTCTGCAAGATGGGTTCAGCCCTGAGATCTTTTTTCCATACGCTAGAACAAAAGAGTACTTAAGAAGCTTCCCAGCATCCAGTAATGGAAAGATAAATATGTATGTACTTCTGCATAAGAGGCAAGAATGAGCATATGATTACATCAAGTTGGAGGCTGTTACGATGGGCATCATGGTAAGCAAATATCTCTGAATCAAAACAGTTGTCTGAGAGAACACTCAGCTTAAGCCCCCGTGCTAAAACCCAGTTCCATATTCTCTTCAAAATGATGCACCAAGACACATTTCACTCTTTTTCTTTTCTTTTTTTTTTTTTGAATAAGTTTTATTCTTAACAGACCTAAGACACATTTCACTCTCAATGTCATTTTGGGGTGAAAACTGAGCAGCTTGGTGCTCCCCTTATTCTGTGAAGGGAGCTGTACATTACCCCACAAGCTGTTTTTGTTATGTTCCTTTCTCCTTTAACTGTGGTCTTAAACAGTTTCTGATATTCTAAAACAATAAACTTTCAAATTACTTGCTAAATAAAAAACTGCTATGAATCTGAGAGATAATTAGCTATTTTACACATTGCACAAGCATTCCATTTATGCTGTAGGAAGCCCTACTCTTCAGTGGAAAAGTCTCATTGCTTAATTTGCACCTCTCGTTGATTTCACTTGCCTTTTCTCCCCCACCGCTGTATTTTTTAAAAATATCTCCATTATTACATGAACCCCATTAGCACTTTTAAAAGGCCGAAACTTGGTTTCAACATCTACTGAGAATACTGTTTGTTCACATTTTGGATCGACAAACCTGAATATGCTATTTGACGGAGATAATTAGAATCACTGTCAAATTGGCATATAATTCATCAACAGTTTTGATTTATCTCCTCCCTAGCCTGACATTCTTGCCTACACACCACATGCACACATCAAACACTACGATGTGATCTCAAAGCAAGACACATGTAAGAGAACCGTGCCAGCTACATCACAAAGTGAAGAGGTAAGGATCCCATGCAGTCTCACTGTACAGATTTTTGCTTGTTTCAGGAGTGGTTACTGGAACAATGAATTCAGCTGAATATTTAGTACTTCAGCAGATGAAAAATTCAGTAGGTTTTGGCCGAACACAGAAGAAGTTTCTTTTAAGCCTCGGCTCTCCAGCCAAGGAAGAAAACCCCTTCCTGCCACACTGGGGGACTGTGTACACAGTAAAGAATTCTGAGGGTAGTTTTTTCACGGTCCAGGGTGGTGTGTCTGAATATAAGCCTAATAAATGACAAAGTAGGAACACAACATTTGCACATTTGTAAGCAAGTGTATTTTCCAGCTCCTGTAAAACACCTTATTACAGAATTACAATTCATCATTAGATACTTAACCTAAAGAAGAGAATCTCTTCATGTGCAAATCGCCAGGTGTTGGTTGTGTTTTGAAGGGGTAACTAGCTTTAACACCATACTGTTCAAGCAGTAAAACGGTGCCGGTCTTCATACTGCGGTACCACTCAGGGCATAAGGAGCTCCACAGCACCATTGACATCATACCAGAAGGATCAGCCACTTCAAAATAGGCCTTCAAAAATTAAGAACATGTGCCGAGTATTATGTGAGACTGCAGCATAAATATGCATTGCTTAAGAATTATTTTAAATGCTTAAGGCTGAGCTGTACTTTTCAAACTGTGTGATTTTTCTCTTCATTTTATTATAAAATATATGCAAGATATTGTACAGAAACAGAAAGAATACTGCCCTTTATAAAGACCTTAGAAGTCTAAGAGCACAATCTTAGGCATGTTTAGATGAAAGTCTTAGAACTCCCAGCATTCCCCAGCCCAAATGGCTACCTGGGTGATGCTGGGAGTTGCAGGACTTTTTCTCCTGTCTAAATATGCATAGGATTGCACCTTAAGAGAGCAATCCCCAACACACTTACCTGGTTGTAAGCCACACTGAAAACCCCACTGAACAGAATTGGGCTTTGAGGTTAAAATCCTAAGTAAGGAAGTCATGCTAAAATCAAAACTACCTACTTTTGATCTAGTGTTTAACAGAATGAAAACAGGGAGAACAAAAGGTAGAGAGGTTAGGCCTTTATGAAGCAATGTATGGTAAAACCAGTAGCACAAAGCCTATGATACTCCTTAGATTACTAAATCATATTATATAAACCTGGCACATGTGACAAAACCTGAAGATGAAGAGAAAGGCAATAAATTGGAAAGAGAGGTTCTCTTCTAGATATAGCAAGAAACATGGTAGAACGTAAGAGAATGATCTGTAGAAGGAAGTTTTTGTCTAGCACAGTAAAAAAAGAAAGGTAAGAGACATTACGACAAGAGAAAAAGTAGTCACAAAAGAAATGACATAGCTATGAAAAACTGCACAGTGCAGTGAACGCTTGTTACATATTCAAGTGATCTGCATGTTGCATATCACATTAACAATTCCTAATGACTAAGAATTACTAATTTGTATTAATCACAACATTATAAGACACCCCTTTCTGCATGCTCAAGTTAGTGAAATTTGGCTAATCTAGGTAAAGATCTGGAAATTTAAATAGAAAGTTATTTAAGTAAGATGCATATTAGCATAATAGTCAGCAACAAAACTGCCTCTTATTCTATCAAAATAACAATTCTGATCTTCCACTACAACCAGCTAACTCTGCTGGAATTCTTACAATCATGGAGGTCGATGCACTATACTAGACTGGAGGTTGCCTTTAGTATACTTCAATTCTGTTTAGGACAAAATTCATTGTTTAGAAAGCCTGTGCTACATCAACACAAGCTGTATCTAAATATGTATTATACACAGTTACTTTGTACAAAGACATGATTATGTAATCAATCACAATTGTTTTCTTTAGTTGTAGCTATTTGTTAAAGGAACAACTCAGCAGACATTGTAACAAATTAAAACTGACCCAGCAGCACCAATGCAAGAATGCACTGGATGTACAACTGCCTATTTTATATCCCCTCATACAAACTTTTTCTTTGTAAGCCGCCCTGAGGCTTTGGCGATGGGTGCAGCATAAAAATGCTATAAATAAATAAATAAATAAATAAATAAATAAATAAATATATTTTATTGCTAATAAATGCAGGTTTCCTACCTGATACGGCATGTCCAGTTTTGTGTCAGGTTTCCCATAATACCGTAATCTTGCCTTATGCAGGATTCTTACAAGCAAGGGCTGGAAGTTGATTTTGGACTTCCAGCCCATGTCCAGCTGCAACAGAGTTCCCAGCTTAGATTCTAAGAAAGCAAACAGAAACAAATAACAGACAAGACTGGGTGTAATAGCCCCATGTAATACCCCTACAGAAACATATTAATGCACACAGGGAAGTTAGTAAGATGTACCGGTATCAAAAACTGGGCCATCTATGATTAATATGCCTCTCCCGAAAGCATACAGAGCCAGTGTGAATGTGGCAGAGTGTGAGATCGTGACTGGGGAAATTTCAGGCCTAATCTCCACTCAGTCATGAAGTGCCCTTGGTGACTTTGGGCTAGTCACTGACTCTCAGCCTAAACTAACTTACAGAGGTGTAAAGATAACATGGAAAGAATGAAGACCATCTAAGTCACATGGGTTCCTTCCAGGGAGAAAAAATGTGGGATGGAAAAGCAATGAATAAAGAAATAATAAACAAGCCCAATATTAGGACAGCTGCTCTATCACAGGTAATATGCAAGCTGCATTCCTTGCCTGAATTCAAAAGCCCCAAACAGAAAATCAGCCTTCCAGAAGGGGGCCAGAATGCAATAAGGCATACTATTCCAACGTACCTAAATGCACAGTAGGGCAGTTCAGGCCTAGATCTAGGTACACCCTCAAGTCCACTCAAGCACCCCACACTCTTACTGGCTATGATTCCCTTCTCAGAATTTAGCTTGTGTGTCACCTGCAAACCTGACTCTTCATCAGGAATGTGGTCAGGACGCCTTCCTAGAGCTGTTCACTGACTGCCTTAACGTAAGTGGCACTATGCCAGAGCCAGAGTGCAGGACTCTCGCAAGCAAGGGCCTCCGGCTCGTGCCCGGAGGAAGGAGGAGTGTCAGCAGGGGCATCTCGGAAGGGTGGCACCCTCCCCCGTGAGGACGGCCTGCCATCCACCACCCGCCTCCACGGCTCGGCCTGCCACACCACCTCCTGGTGCACAACTTACCATCGACACACACATCCTGTGCCACCTTCTTTTCCACCCAGATCTCCCCATAGGGGTCCTCATTATTCCACAAGGGAAGGTAATGCCTCTTGCCCCCCCTCAGTGGCACCGCGGGCTTTTCGCGGCCCGGCTTGGGAGCCGGAGGGGCCTCCCCCAAGTCCGAGACCCCCAGGATCTCGAGGCCCTCGATGCACAGGAAGCCGTCGCCCAGCCGCTTCTCGTTGTACATGTACGAGCACTGCGTGATGCGCACGCGCAGGCCGCAGCGGAGCGCGCTCTTGTGCACCAGGGGGTTCAGCTCGGGGGCCAGGTGACACTTCTCCTGGCACACGCCGTCCGTGACCGTCACGTCGTAGTAGTAGCACGGGCAGGGCGCGGCGGGCGGCCGCGGGGCCGCGCCGGGGGGCGGCACGTCCGCGCCGTACCGCTCCAGCCGCAGCACGGAGACGGGCGGCGCGTCCGGGAGCGCGGCGCGCAGGCGGTCCGAGGCGAGCACCCGCGCCAGGGTCCCCCGCAGCCCGGACCGTGCTACTACTACGACGTGACGGTCACGGACGGCGTGTGC